TCGATGACGTGCTGTCCATCACTCAGGAAACTTACTTACTTACTTGATATTTGAACCGCCCATCCTCACTGGTTGTGCGGACCCCAGCATATTCTCCAATTCTCGGAGATTTGCTGGTTAAGCCATTGTGGTTTCCTGGAATCTCGAGGTCAACCTGACCACATTCTGTCCTAGACTAGGAGGGGATTTTCCAGACTAATTCTCAGCTTGGGAGACTCTGCCAGGAAGACGAAACCCCCAGCTGTAGATCTCAGCGCGTAACCCAGAATCACCTCCTAGCCACGATGAAGCGTAAAACGTTGGCAAGGAAAGCCTTAATAAAAAGCATAAAGCATAGAAGGAGTTTTTTCAAATTTATTTTGTACTACCCTTCTTTTGGACATTTACGATAAAAAGATGTGGAACAATTCCAGCTTTAACTCTTTTATTTACTGCCTTTTTCTTCTTAATGGCAGGGTTTGTTGCGAAATATAACTCGTATGAAATGCTGGGATATTTGCAAAACTTCGGACCACAGGTGTATGCAGTGGGGAACGAACACGCGCTGTTGTCCTTACCGGGGAGCAGCGCGTGTTCGTTTCCCACTGCATACACCTGTGGTCCGGAGTTTTGCAAATATCTCAGCATTTCATACGAATTCCAGCTTTGACAATCCTCGTCGTTTACGCGCCCACATCAAACTATGAGAAGAAGCAGTCGAAGTGTTCTATGCGGACTTGGAGAAGTTTTACAGAGAAGACCATACATTCTTAAGGCCATCATTGGAGATTTCAATGCTAAGATTGGACAAAGAAGAACGTCTGAAGAATGTCACATTAGGGCCCATGGATTAGAATGGAACGAACAGCGTGAGCGGCTGTTTGAGTTTATCACAGCGAATAAAGACTATCCATGGTAACTGGCAATTTTATAAGCCCCACTCTCAACACTAAACGTGGGAATCTCCCAGTGGAGAGTACCATAACGAAATATACCACATCATAGTAAATAAAAGGTTTTGGCTAACCGATGTCGTTGTTGTCCCAAAATTCTACACGGAATCAGACCATCGCCTCGTTATGCAAGGTTCCACCCTTTGCGGAAAAGAGAAAAAGCCGTTAAATTCAATAGCCGAACACACAGAACCACCGCAAACCGGGACTTATTCAATTCATTAGCCGGCTGTTGGGAAGATGCCGTTGTCGACAACATCGACGAAGAATACGATCGGCTCATTCAACATCTTCATGTCACTGCTATGAAAACTGAGAGTTCGAAAATCACCAAGAGATGTCTGTCTACAGAAACACTCGAGCTGATACGCCAGCATGCAATCGCATGAGCCGCAGGCAACCGCGAACTAACGTCCGAACTTGCAAGGCAATGTAGACAGGAGATAAAAGAAGATCATAAATAGAGAAGAGCAGCAATAATGGCCAAAGCTGCAGAGGCTGGGAAAAGCATTCGCAAAGCCCATCGAAGCTTCGCCAAACACAAGACAAGAATCATTGCACTCCGACGCCAAAATGAAACACTTACAGCGTCCAGAAAGGCAGTGGAGAAAATCATTCACGAATAGTACTCAGATCTCTTCGATAGCCACGTACACCTTCCGTTATATGGAATAAAGGAGGATGGATATGTTGTACCACCGGTTCTTCCTTCCGAAATCCGACATACCATTTCGTCGGTGAAAAATCGAACAGCACCAGGTCGGCACAGGATAAGACCAGAACACCTGAAGAACCTTCCGCCGGTCCTCGTAAACACGCTGGCTCGGCTCTCCACACGCTACCTGTCTGAATGCGAAGTCCTCACTGAGTGGAAGACCAGCAACACCGTGTTATTGTTCAAGAAGTGTGACTTACACTATATTGGCAACTATCGCCCAATCTGCTTGCTGCCTGTCGCCCATAAACTTTTCACTCGAGTCATCCTAAACAGGATTGGCAGAATACTGGACGAAGGACAGCTAAGCAAGGTTTCGAAAAGGATTTAGTACGATAAACTACATCAGCACGATAACAAAACTCAATAAAGTATCGCGATAGTACAAAAGACCGCCTTGTTTCACTTTCATCGATTTACTAAACGACCTTGATTCAATTGAGACAGAAGCAGCCATGGAAGCCTATGATAGTCAGGGAGTCCTTACTCAGTACATAAAGATTCTTCGTGAGCTGTACAAAAATTTCACAACCAATATATCACCATTCTATAACGGTATTAACATTGACGTCAGAAAAGGTGTTAGGCAAGGCGATACCATCTCGCCAAAATTATTTACCGCCACACTCCACAACGCCATGCGAACACTAGAATGGGATAATATGGGAGTGAAAATCGATGGTCGGCAGTTACACCATCTTCGCTTTGTTGATGATATCGTCCTTATAACACCAAGCATTACCCAAGCGGAATATATGGTTGCCGACTTTGATGAAGCCTATAGAAAGATTGATCTTCTACTAAATCTCACAAGACGATGTTCATAAGAAACGGATTGGTTTCGTATGCCCCATTCACGTCCAGCGGAACGAATATCTCCGAATGCTCCAGTTATGTCTATCTAAGTCGGAAAGTCAACATGATGAACGACTTTGCTTCAGAGTTGAGCAGAAGGAAATGAGAGGCCAGAGAAACTTTCAAGAGCATCGAGAATGTAGTAACAGGGAACACCCGACTCCATGCCCAACTTTTCGACTTCTTGCCCTAACGTATGCGTCAGAAACATATTCGTTGCGTAAACAGGATGAAATATTAATCAGCGTTATCGAACGCGCAGTCTTAGGGACGATGCTAGGAGTATTCCGTATCACACAAGTAAGGGAAGGGATCCGAAACTGCGACGTGCGTCAACGATCAACAATCAAAGATGCCGTTTTGTACGCTAAACAGTCGAGGATAAGTTTGGCCGGACACGTAATGCACATGAATGACAACCGATGGACAGGAGCCGTTAGTGACTGGATTCCTCGGAATGTTAAACGCATTGTAGGAAAGTCACCGATCCGATTGTCTTCACGAAAAGCCTAGAAGAAAGATATGATGTTCGACGAGTTCCTAGTGCGAGTAGAACCCACTGGGTTACTCTTGCGCGCGACAGGAAAAAATGGAAGATTTACTGGCGCCCGCTCAAGTTACTCGACGATCAACGGGGCTATAGGTGATACAGGTGATACCCGTCTTTAACAACTACAGTGCGGATACCGGCACTTCGAGCATTCGATTTGTTTCTTCACATCCATCAACCACGAAAGCTTTTTAACTTTTTACATCTAGCTTCAAGTTTTGGTTGAGGACTTTCCTTTCATTTTGAATATCGCAGAATGTTCGTCAAGTCACTTTTTCTGGAGTCCTAGATAACCGGGCTAGAGTATTCTTACTTGGATTGTAGAGAGTGATTTTTGTTCTCACATATGTCCTGTGTGGATTTCGCTACGCGGAGTAATGAGGGGTTTGGTGGCTCTAGTGCGGTATAAGATCAGCACGTTTCTCTGATGATTGGCATTACTACCACTTTTTCCTTATTATTTAAATTATATTATCTGCATGAAGTGCTGAGATATTTGCAAAACTCCGGACCACAGGTGCATGCAGCGGAGAACGAACACGCGCTGTTGTCCTTACCGGGGAGCAGCACACTTCACCACTACACCATCCTGGTCTTCTGAAAGCTACAATCAATGAGTACTCCTTGTTGACACAAGCGATCAAATAACGCCCTACTATCCTCATTACAGAAAACATGGAAGTGTAACCAACACCTTTGTTTCGCCGCTGTTTAGGTTTATATTAAAAGTCTTGGACTGAAAAATTACACGTAGCAGCTCCTTTATATTATTTGTAGAGAATCTGATCGTCTCAAAATTCTGCCGTTGTTAAACTAAGGATAAAATAAGGAATAAGGTGATTGATTGGAGTAAATCAAATGAAATACTGTTACTTGTAAGAAATACGTGACAAAAACAATTGCTCTTCCACAAATTAGTTGGTTCTGACGAACTGTCCTTGATCAGTTGATACGAGGCTATTAAAACTTATTTCAAGTTTTCGATGACTATTTCTTCCGCAACTTTGCGTTCTTAGACCATACGCCCGACTAAATGATAAGTGTAACTGGGTCGATACGAGAGAACACACTCTACAACAATTCGGAGCAATCGCAAACTTTGGTTGGAGAACACGAGGAACAAACTTTCTACCAAATTTACACACTCATGGTGCTGTGATCTTATGACACGTAGTTAACGAGAATGACAAGAATAACATTTAAGAATCATTATAGTTCGCTTCTTGGGAGGGTTATCTCATAGGTCTATCCTGGGCCACCGTCTACGTATTTGCCAACTTTTGCCGATTGCAATCTTTTACTAAACCAACATGTATGATGCAAGTCGGACAGTCACAAGCACAACCGTCGCATACGTGAGAACTAAACAAACATTCTCCGAAGTCTCAAGGATTGTTCAAGGTCTCTTTGGCCAGCGTTCAACCTCTACGTCACCCATAAGACGCGCCACATGATTTCTTCGCTAATCAGTTCGACGAACTAATTCGAGTTCGAACGTTGTGCGAATGGAGGAGGTCTGTGGAGCTTGATTTGTGTCTCTCGTAATTCCTTTAAATAGCTAGTGCATTTTCGATTTCGTGAGCTTCAAATCCGAGGTGCGATCTCTTCAAGTGTTATGCTATGTCATACTTGTTTAAGGCACTTTACTTGTATCCATCATGTGTTAACATATTCGGTTGCGTGATCTCTCTAGGAGTCATTTGTGTGTTGTAGCTTGTGTGACCCTTACATAGGTCGTATTCTTTCAGTTGGCCTATTGTTACAAGGTTCAATAGCAAAATTGAAGATGACTACAACTTGTTTTACGCGAAACAATTTCTGTTTTAAAGTAGTTTGGATATGGTAACTATCTCGGTTTACTTTCTGAGATGTTGTTTGAAGGTTGCTTTAGAGGATTAGAATTCCTTACTAACTTCTATTTATTTACAGAATCTAAAGTGCAAAGAGAATGCCGGTCGGTGCGTATTTCATGGGAACTGTTGGTGATCCACGGGATGACTGTCGAATGGTTCCGAATCGCGAAGCCACAAGCGAGGACTTGGCCAATATCGGTGTTGAAGTGTCCAAAGTGAGTTCGGAAAGTAATGAAAACTGAAAATAAATTTTTTCCTTCCTTCTTTCTGGAACATTATCTTCATGGAACGGAATTACTTTGTAAAAGGAGTTCAAATTAAGTTAGTATGAGAAGATCAGTGCATCTGTCACTACTATCTGCTAGTCACATGTGGCACAATAGTTCGAAGTGTCTTGCAACATAAAATAAATCTGTCACTGGTTCGATATCGTGCTATGGTGTGACCAACCTCTCCATCCAGGGATCACCAAATTATCTACTACAATAAAAGCAACGACTTGATATAACGCTAGACCATCGTTAATCAGTGGACAGGCTAAATATGCACAAAATGCAGTCACTTCCACGACACCATGAATCGAGCCGAATGGATGATGCCCTTTAAAGTTTTGTCGTCTTACCATTAGCAGAACTCGTAATGAGTCATGGGTCAGTCGTCTGCTTTGTGAATGGAGTAAATTATGAAATTTACGTGATGTTTTCCCCATCATCGTTTCGGAAAATTCGTGGAATTTTCAATCGCCAACATGCGACACACTTATACGACGCTTAGACGTAAATCTGCTCCTTTTCGCTGTCCCAAGTATACTGGTATTTATTGTGTCGCTACAAAAGTGTTTCCCTTTATTTCTAAGACTGGTAGGATCAAGGCCTTGGTGTCTAGCTTACATGAGCGTGTTCGAATCTGTTGATTAAGTAACTGAATTGGTGCTTTAAGGTAATAACTAAGTGCTTAACACTGAATTTACGTCTATTTTCCAGTGACAGTTTTAATTAATAGCACTCCAGAAATAAACTTTTATTTCTAGATCGATATGACCTCGGATTGGGAGAAGCACGTGGACAACTTGATGACTGTTTATGGAATGAATTATCGTGACGAGGTGCAGATTAACAGAGCTTCTATGCCTGATTTTGATGAAAGGGTTGGCTTTTGTTAATCGTTTCTGTGAATATTGTTTTTAAAATGTTTCACCACGTAACATAGATTGCAATGAAACTCGTAATTTAGTCGAAAAAGTTCTACGAAGAGCATTTGCATCGTGATCCTGAGGTCCGTTTCATAAAATCCGGAACTGGTTTCTTCGATGTTCGCAGCATTGAGGTTAGACATTCTACTGTTTTTAGAGCATCGCAGTTTACTTACTGACAGATGTTGTTGGTGAACCGGTGTAACTTAGTGGTTAGAGGAAACCTGCAAAACGCTGTGGATCCATTGCTGATTCGTTGAGGCCTCCCTGGCTCAAAAAATCTTTATCCCTAAGGGGTTGACAAATTTCTAACAGACTTCTTCGGGAGGATAAAACCACTCACTTTATACATCGGTTTGTCACTTCAATTTACTGTATAGGTCGGTTATGCATTCAATCACCTACTACAATGTCACCAGTTGAGTCCAATGCACGACGTAGTTCTCAAGGATTGATTAACACGGGGTGCTTTATCCTTTGTGCTTTAAATGTACTCATTCAGGACGAATGGATTCGCATTCCAGTGGAAAGTGGCGATTTCTTATCACTTCCAGCGGGAATCTACCATCGTTTCACTACAGATCGAAATGTGGGTACAAGTAGTCCTTAAGTTTTACATATTTATGGAAACTAGCTGTTGACTTTCTTCAAGGTTGCAGCGTTTTGGAATCGGATCTCTTATGTTTCACAGAGCTGCTGAAGCCCCTTTTAACTGCAAATGGCATATTGTGTTTTTTATCCTTACCTACTTGAATACTTGGACGGTCCGCCCTCACTGGTTATGTGGGTCCCAGAATAATCTCCATTGTTTTTGAAGTTTGGCTTGTCTAGCCATTGTGTTTCCCAGAAGTCACGAGATCAGTCTAGGCAAAGTCTGTCCAAGGTCATCCCCACCACAGGTACCCGCCTCTCTTGTGGATCAGAGGGAGATTTGCCACTATGTCACTAGTTTGATACAAGGACGGTGGTGGATAATGGTATTGGTTTACTCTTAGCTGGTATTCCTGATGGAAGCACCGGATTTCTCAGGTTGGGAGACCCTGTCGTGGGGAGAATCCCCCTGCTGTACATCGCAGCCCGAATCCGGGAACACCTCCCAGCCACGATGAGGCGGTAAACCTTTGGGAGGGTTTCTTATTTAATTATTAGTACAAAAAGCTACTTTGCGCAGCTTTCTAAACCAGTAGTTAAATATAAGATTTTTATCGATTTTCCTCCATATTTCTCAGCTGTTCTATTATATTCATCTCTCACACACGTGTCTCTGTCAACTGCTATAGGATCTTCATTATGTTGGCGAAGTTGCACATTTTGTTGCCTTCATTCTGAGACATATTGACCACTTGGCGTAGTACTTGATATTTTCTGCCCAAAGATCTTTTCAACGCTGGTCGAGCCCTTCCATTTTTGACATGAGCCCTGCCTTTGAAAGGATCACTCGCCTTTAAAGGGACTCGTCAGTAAAACAATTTTTTGGACTTGATCCACTTGAGTTCTCAACACATAAAAGGAATCCAAAGCATCTCGGGCGGTTTGTGCTAATAAGAGAGGGTCTTATTAGCCCTAAGCCAAATGTGCACGCGGTCGTTTTAGTTGTTAATCGTTCTGAGGGACGTAGATCGAAAAAAAGCACAAGATGGCTTTTTCGAGGTTTCATTCTGGGGTGATGTAGATGCTTAACTCATATCCGATAAATATTGACAATTGGGGAATCTAAAAGTATGAATAGGACGAATAGCACAGTGGTAGTGGTGGTCGTTACCACGAGGAAGATGGTAGTTCGATTCCGCCCCAGTCTAACAAAGCCTTTCATCTTTCCGGGTCGGAAAATTGGTACCCGACTTGTCTGGGAGAAAACCACTCTCTGCAATTTAACTAGGAACGCTCCAGCCTGGCTATCCCAGGACTCCAGGGAGAATTCATCGACCAGCATTCTACGACACTCAAGACGAAATGAAAATCCTCAAGTAATAGGCGAGGCCAAACGTAAAGGGTGGAAAATATTTGTGGATAATGGATGCGAGAAAACGAATCGAATGTGAGAAGTACTTGGGTCCGCATGATAGACGTGAAGACGGCTCATATAAAAATTTAAAGAAAAGTTATGAAATGCTTTTTTAATGAATTGTTTTTACTTTCATTTCTTTAAACAGGTTTACCTGTACACTTCTACAACAGCTACAAAGTCTTTAACGTTTTTCTTTATCAGTGATTTTGAAATTCATTTTTTACACTTTGCAACACGTTTTGATTTTCAAGGAAAATCTTGTGACAGTACGAATGTTTCAATCAGCACCTAAATGGATATCATACGCTCGTTGTAAGGATGGCGATGAAGTGGAGGAGCGAAGTAGATACCTGAAACAGATCGGAATCGAACACTGACTGTAGTCTTAACTCTTCTATTTAGTGCCTCTTTCTTCTTAATGGCAGGGTATGTTTTGAATTATAACTCGTATGAAATGCTGAGATATTTGCAAAACTCCGGACCACAGGTGTATGCAGTGGAGAACGAACACGCGCTGTTGTCCTTACCGGGGAGCAGCGCACTTCACCACTACACCATCCGGGTCCTTCGCTTTGCACGTCTCTCAGCTAGTTCTATCGATCTTTTTGCCATCAGCAATCACCCGTCAACGGGATTGATCTCAGCTTAACTGGGTTCAATGCCGATATTGGCTCCCCGTTGACGGGTGATTGCTGATGGCAAAAAGATCGATAGAACTAGCTGAGAGACGTGCAAAGCGAAGGACCCGGATGGTGTAGTGGTGAAGTGCGCTGCTCCCCGGTAAGGATAAGAGCGCGTGTTCGTTCTCCACTGCATACACCTGTGGTCCGGAGTTTTGCAATTATCTCAGCATTTCATACTGGCTCTGGTTTTGTAAACGCGTTTTCACATTGCACTGTTGTCGTTAGTTGCTTTTGTTATCATCTAGAATTGCATTTGTGAAAAATAAATGGTCCCTGAGATACCAAATCTTTATCACATTAAGAACATGAAACTAGTGGTTATTTTTGTCGCTACGAAATTTCTTACATGAGTCCGCATTAAGTCTTAGTTGACTGCTAAGCTTAAACGAGTTTTTTGTAATTCCTTTTTACTGTGGCTGCCATTTTGGCGCCATGGCCAAGATGGATATTTCGTGGAATTTGTGTCTTCGTAGCGGCCGAATCGATTAGAATGGAATGTGGTGGAATACTACCTAAATAAAGTAGCACATCACCAAGGAAAACGAACATCGAAGACCCTCCTTGTAAGCAACAAAAGCTGTAGACATTCGACCCCAAAGAAAACGATGGCACCGAAACATCGGCCACAAAGTGAGTTTGTCTAACAACCTGGTGTAATCATGTGGATAAACCAAGCTCTTAATTAGCACTGGCGGAGCTAAACCAAAGTAGACGGTGAAATTTTCGCAATAAATATTTGCTGGATAAATTGTAGTTATAGGACATTTTAAAATGCAGTGATCTTCCACACTGGATATACGGGTCTCCACAGCAGAACAACTATTGAACTTCCATTAAAGATGATACAAGGATTATGTGATGTCAACAACTGAATCTGGCCTTCTGAAAAATGGTGGAGTAGTGATGGAAAATGTCAACATTCGCGATAAAAAAAAACAATCACCATTTAAAAGAAATTGCAAAAGTCAGGAGGGTTCGTGGATGGGTGCGCGGCATGTCGTGAACGAATGGCACCGAGGTGATCGTCACGAAGTGCTTCTGCACTGCTATTATACAGCAAGAACGACCTATGTTTTACTAGAATTGCGATAAACGATAAAAATGGACAACATGCGACAACAGGTGACATTCATTAGAAACGTTGAAATTAGATGAAGGTTCCAAACGTTTTACAAAGGAATATCTTGGATCTTTACAAAACGATCAAAACGGAGACCCGCTGCTACAAAATCGATGAAGTTATACGGAATCTGCAGAGTATGCATTCAGACATTGTAAGTAATAAAAGTGCAGAAATGGTACATTCGACGATAAATTGCACAAGGAAGGCTGAAAGTATTGACAGAGATGTGCTATCAAGTCCTCCCTCAACCCTCTTACTCTTCGAATCTTCCACTAAGTAAATATCTTTCCAAGTTTTTGACAACTACTAACTGGGAACATATTCAACGAGCAAAGCGGTGCTAAAGATGCTTTACGAAGAATTCGTTGAAACCCAGAATTCCTACTTGGATACTTGGACGGCCGTTCCTCACTGGTTGTGTGACCTCCATCATATTCTCCATTTTTCGGAATCTTGCTGGTTTAGTCATTGTCTTTTCCTGGAATCCTGAGGTCATCCAAGGCAACGTCTGTCACAGGTCGTCGCCACCCCAGACAGTCGCCACCACAGACAGTCGCCACCCTTGTGGATCAGAGGGAGATTTGCCACCATACGACTAGTTTCATACCAGGACGGCGGTTGATATTGTTTAACTTCTATCTGGGCTTCCTGTCGAAAACGCCGGACTCCTTCTCAGCATGGTATACCCTACCAGAGGGATGAACGCCTCCGCTGTAAATCCCAGCCTGGCACTCAGGAACACCTGCTAGCTATGGTGAGGCGGTAAAACGTTGGGAGTGTTCTAGAATTCTAAACTACCTAAAAAAGTGAATCACATCTTTTTGGTGAAAATATGGAAACCTTAATGTTTCCGATTTTGTTTAATAAAGCTGTGTGGCATCCATAACATTTTTTTTGGTAGTTTATTTTGTTACATAGGGTCTTCATGTCAAATATTTTTTCGATAGATTTTCTTACAAAGACATGTTAGGGACATCCATGAAGGAACAGCTGTTCTGTATACTTGGTAATTTACAGTAAGGGTTTTTCTGGATGAGTTCACAGATCAGTAATTCGAATGATAATTGACGGTGATTTCATACCAATCGCTATGGTAGAAAAATAGAAAACGATGTGTATTGCAGGGCGCCTCTAACCACCGCGCTATACGCGTCACTTACACAACGTTATGATGGAATATCCAAATCTTGCTGCTGATTTTGTCCAAACATGCCAAACTTCAGTAATGGATTTATTCTCATTTCGCGATAATCTACAAAAGTTTGATGTTATTCGTGAATTGTACACGCAAAGTTTTTTATTCTGGTCGCTCCTAACGCAGCTGGTGCCTGCCCTACACTTAGAACAGAGGTCTCATGGCTAATAAATTTGTTAGCCCATTACAGGTCCACTGAAATTGCACATAAGTTCGGTGATGCCAGAACAACGTGTAGGACACCTGGAACGTATCCGGGTCAACAACAGACGACGAGGTATGGCAGCTGGTATTTATGCATGTCGCAACCTAATCAACTGTTGTTGTGCTATGCCATATAAAACAATTATTAAGTAGTGCTGAATAGCATAAAATATCATATTAGCAGTTGTTGTGTCGTAACTCATATCCATTACCCACATTCCAACAGCTTAAGCTTAAAGCTCTTTGAAAGCCTCTGTTAAACGGTACGGGAAAAGCAAATCGTAGTAAAGTCAGAACAAACATTCGTTTTTCTTCCAATGTAATAAACCCGAAAAATGAATTTAAAAGGAGTAATTTTTTCTACTTCTGTTTAGCAAACATGAGGTGCTATTTTATTTCTTTATTTACGTACAAGCTAACGTTTCGGCGGATTTCGCCTTCCTCAGAGCCTGGAAAGGTCAAGTTGACAGTAACGTATTCGGCTAAACAACTCCATAACCAAACAAAGAAAACGCTAAACAAAGATTTCAATCACATTGAACACAGCTCTGCACACTCACCGTTTTTTACGAGTATTCCACTGAGTATGCAGTGTGAAGACCGACCGCAAAGAATTCACATGGAAGCGTAAGAAAGCTGAACAGAAGTAGAAAGAATTGTTCAATCAATGCCGAGGTTAATAGAAAGTCGGACGTGGGAGTTAAAAAAGAGTAGTTTAGTTTTTCTTCAGTACAGTTTCATGCGGCGAGTGTGAAGCAGTGGACAGAGGGGCACTGCAACACACACGTGGAATCGATTCCCGGACTCATGGCCTTCCAAGCCTTCCATCCCACCGTGGTCAGCAAATTGGTCCAGACTTATCTGGTAGGATAGCAGCACTAACTTGATACATCTGTAGGCCACTGCGTTATAAAAGCCAGGTATCAATTCAATCTCCTCCAAACGATACTTAAGGAAGTCGAATGCATGGCGCATCCCTCCCGGATTAATCAACGCCTAGAGGTTTATCCTTGTTTTTAGTACGGTTTTAGGTTTAGTATCGTATGGTTTTACGGATCTCCCTCATATCCACGGATCTCGCTCATATAAAGGATCTGGAGCTGGTTAGTCACGAGGCTACGTGGCGCGTTCCCAGGTGGCGAATAAGTGGTTGGTTAATCGCGGACCAAAAGCGACCTTTGCTTCTCTGAGACGCAGGTGGATACAGGGGATGGACTCACTGTTTCCGCTCCACCGATTTGACACACTGTGTATTTGCTGGGCGTATTCGTACATGCGTGTGTGGGTGCGTTCTCGCTTATACGGATTGTATTCTATGAGTCAGTTCGGCCAAAGGCCTGCAATCAAGTGGAAGGGAAGTATATGGGAGAAGAGCCTGCCCAGCTACCCGTGAGTATACCCAGCCGCCACGTTCAGAGCACAGCAGGCAAGCTATGACACCGGAGAAGAACTGTTTCTCGGAACATGCGACAGTAGAGAAGTCGGCGGGGTCGGCGTTCTCGTCAACACGAGTTTGTCCATGAACATCGATTCATTCGAACAACTTACAACTCAAATCAAACGTTTATGACTAAAAAGATGTAGATTAATACCAGTTTTAACACTCTTCGTCGTTTGCGCGAAGGCATCAAACTATAACGAAGAAGAAGTTGAAGTGTTCTAAATGGACTTGGAGAAGTTCTGCAGAGAAGACCACACATTCTTCAACGTCATCATTGGAGATTTCAACGCCTAATATTGGACCAAGAAGAACGTCTGAAGAACGTCATAATGGGACCCACGGATTAGAATGGAACCAACAGGGTGAGCGGCTGTTTGTCATGGCGACCAAGACTACCCATAGTAGCTCGTAATTCTAAAAGCCTCACCCTCAATGCTGGACGTGGGAGTCTCCCAATGGAGTGTACCATAACGAAATAGACCACATAATAGTAAACAGAAGGTTTTGCTTTACCGATGTCGCCGTTGTCTCAAAATTCTACACTGGACCACACCACCGTCCCCTTCGTGCAAGATTTTATTTCTCGCGGAAAGTAGAAAAAGCCGCTAAATTCGAAAATCGAAGTGCTACCAATATTAATGAATGTTTAGCTTCTGTGTTGACTAACTACTCCTCCAGGCTTGGTACCGCCGAGCACCGCATAACTCGTATCGTACAGAAGCTGCAGTCGC